GGTGGGGAAGGAAGCTGAGAGTTGATTTCGACGGTCTGCCCCAGGCCCCACAGTGCGGAAGGAGCAGTACCATGATTCTAACTCTGCTCTGCGTACCTCCAAAGCCTCTTTCTATTTCAGGCCGCTACCTTGCCACTCACTGGTATTAAAACCCCAGAGTCACATTCTCCCGTATTTCTTGGACATGGAAATTCCTCAAAGGGGAAATTTCTAAGATGGGAAGTACTTTCCAAACCTAAAGTTTCATGTTTCATGCTATAGTCAGTTTTGCTTTCTGTTATTCAGCACTAGTAAAATGGGGTTCTTCTTTAGGTGTTCAGAGCATAGCCAGGAGAGACATAGACAGGAATGTTGAAATTAGCTTTCCCATCCACTGATAATCAGCTGATTTTACAGAGCTCCCATCAACCCCCTTGACTCTCTGGTTTCTGAAATAACCAAAACTAACTACGCCCCAGTTTGAAAAACTGAAATGAACACAATGGCTTCTCTTTCTTTCTTATACATGTATTTACACACATTTTATTTACAGTCTTTGAGGCTTCCCAGTCCTCTTGAAGCCAAGGGTTCTCAAAGTAAAAATTCCTGTAAAGATGATCAACATTGAATTGGCAGTTTTTAAAAGGAGAGCCTCCAAAAGCCATCAAGTGGTCAATCTTAGACTCAGGCAGTGGTTATGGTGGACTCTAGCTTTAAGACCCTCTTCCTCTCCCAGCAATTTGCAAAGTCAACACCAGATTAGTCATCTCAGCCTTGGGCTCTAGAAGACTACCTTCTACTTTGTCCTAGACGGTTGGGATGTCTAACTCTGGGCCACCTTCCAGTGTGGTCTGCAGTGCTCAAGGCCTGGACCTTTTGCCTCCTGCAGACCCATTTAGCTGCCACTCCAGATGTCTCTACATAGGCTAGTTCATACAGAGCTCCTTGAGGGTAAACACTCCATTCTCATCAGGGGACAAGAAGAGAGCAGAGAATGCCCATAGACTACATGCTGGTAGGCAGGCATATGAAGAACTTTTCTACCTGGACAGCCAAGACAGTTGGCATTGTATGGGAGCTTTGCTATGAGATACAGGTCTACTACAACCAAACCATATCAGAATCTGTGGGCAACCTTCACTCCTAAGGAACCAGGGAGCTGTTCTTCACATCATTTCCACCAGGCAAGGACAAAAATAAAAACAAAATTGCAAAGGATAAAGAAATTGAAACAAAGCCATTTGCAATGATGTATTTCCACCACAAAGAATCTATTCCTTACTCAATGGATCTATTTAATGGAATTAAAATTTTGACACAAGTCATCAAAATTCTGTTCAGATCAAGACATCACTATGCTTCACAGAGGGTTATTCCACAACAGTCTGAGAGTGATGTTGGAGATGGAAGCCCAATGCATCTCTTAACAAATCAGAAGGAATATGGATAGCATAGTCCACAGTTCATAAAGACCTCGCTCTTTCCCTTCTCTAGGTATCTCCAGCAACCAGCCCTGATAAACATGCTTCCAAATAGTGGCAGTTATCACTTGGTGGGATATGATATCTCCACATGTGGATCAGTTTGGATTTTCCTCATTAGCGGAGCCACAAAACCATTCCCTTCCCCAGTGTTTAGGCTGCTCTAGGCCAAAGCCCGGCAGGATACTGAAACCTTGCTCATCAAAGTGTTCTAGCTGTGTGCTCTAAGGTCAGGGCCTTGATCATTGCCCTGAGCAAACAGAAATGATTTCCTCTCTTGAGTCAGGAATCAGAAAGGCTGGAGCCAGGAGTAAGATCACCAGAGACACCAGTAAAGCTGAAAATGACCTCCACTTTGGCATTAACAAGTATTAGAATAATTCTGCCTTTCATTTCCTTAAAATATGGTCAAATTAAGCCCTTTGGACTCAGTTGGACTGGGAAAAGACTTTTTCAAAAAAAGTTACAGAACAGCCTTGCATGTTGCCCTGTGTCTTTTTAATAATATGTCAAAGGGGCATAGTCAGTTGAGCATCCGACTCTTGACTTTGGCTCAGGTCATGATCTCGGGGTCTCAAGATTGAGTCTTTGGGGGCACCTGGGTGGCTCAGTCCATTAAGTGGCTGCTTTCGGCTCAGATCACAATCCTGGGGTCTTGGGATCGAGCCCCACATCTGGCTCCCTGCTCGGCAGAGAGCCTATTTCTCCCTCTCAATCTGCCCGTCACTCTGCCTACTTGTGCTCTCTCTCTGTCTCTCTCTGTCAAATAAATAAATAAAATATTTTAAAAAAAGTTTGAGTCTTTGAACACCTTGAAAAAGTAGCACAATTTCAGCAGGAAGAAGTCAAGGGGAGAAGTCCCGTCAGACATCGTGCACATGGGAAAAGGCAGGTGGATGCTGGGAAGGGATGAAGCATGCGGATTTGTTAGGCTGTAGCAGAACTCACATGAAGTTATAACAGCAGAAGGAGCAGAGCACACCACCTGACTGGTAAAGGCATCACTGAGATTAAGCTGGTAGACAAGAGGGAGGCATTGAAAGTTCTGGAAGAGAGAAGTATTATGGTAAAAAGCAGTGTTTTGTGAAGACTATGGTGGTAGCTTTCTTTCTTTATGAAGACCGCCAGAACAAAGTACATAGCTGGGTGGCTTAAAACAACACAAATTTATTCTGTCACAGTTGTGGAGGCTGTAAGTGTGAAATCAAGGCATCAGTGGGGCCGTGCTCCCTCTGAAGTCTCTTGGGGAGAATCCATTGTGTGGCTCTCTTGTAGCTTCTGCTGGTTGCAGGCAATCTTTGGCATTCCTTGGCTTGTAGATGCTCCACTCCAATCTCTGTCTCTGCCTTCTCATGGTATTCTCTCTCCGTGTGATAATGTCTCCCCATCAAATTTGCCTCTTCTAATAAGGACACCAATGGTATTGGATTTGGGGCGAGCCCTACTATACTTTGATCTCATCTTAACTTGACTAATGTCGGCAATGACTGTTTCCAAATGAGGTCACATCTGCAGTTTCCTGGTGGGCATGAATTTGAGGGGGAACACTATTCAACCCAGGGAAGTAGCCAAACATAGGAAGAATTAGCATGAGGAGAGCCTTGCAACAGAGAGATAAAATGACGAAGGTCTAAGATGGTGACAACCCTGTGGCAGAGAGGAGAGAGAATGTAAAAGGCAGAGTCGGTGTCTTTGGGTGACTAGTTATTAATGGTGAGGAGGGGAGTTAAAGGTAACCCAGAGATGGGGGGCCGGGCACCTGGGTGAGTGGTGGTGCCACCAACCCAGATCACCAAGTAGAAAGCCACAGCTAGTTTAGTGAGAAATGAATTTGATTTTACGTTTTATTGCATAATTTTGGCAAAAGATGTAGCCATGTGTGTCTGACCAGGCAGCTGGGCGTTCGAGACCAGAGTGCTGGACAGGCGCTAGGGCAGGTAGTGGGGATTTAGGAATAATGCAGCGAAGGAGGTAGAGAAATTATCATCAGAGTAGCTAAAGTTCCAGATGGCAAGGGGATGCAGGGGGAAGGCAGAAGATGGGACTGGGGAGAACAGCTTAATTGCACATCAGAGAAGAAGAGGGGGGAAGGAAAAGGCAGTGGGAGAATTTAAGAGGCCAGTGGGCAAGAAGTGAGGTGGAAAAGGGAAGGAAAAAATAGTTCTGTGGTTAAAGCTTGTGATTTAATCCTCTGCTAAAACATAAACGTATATTCTCGGACAATTCCTTTGAGTATTACCTTTGTATCCACACAGCACAACAAATTTGAGGATTTCTTCACAAAGTAACATAGAATATATGGCGGAAATGACCCATAAAAAGAAAATCTGTCAGAAATAGATTTGTAATCAGTCCTCAGCAACTTCAATATTATACATTCAAGGTTTTTGATTAAGAAAACATTCTTTTCAATATGCAGATGACATGGTAACATATTGCAAGTAAAAGTATCCTTTTTAAAAAAGTTTTCTAAGTCTTATCCCATCTCTATGCCTTTAAGATTTTCAGTGTTTCTGAACTTATATGTAAATATAAACGCACTATATGTTTTATGTCTAGCTCCCATCAATCAAAAATATATTCATAAGATTTACCTATGTTCTTGAATATAACAGAGGTTCATTCATCTTTATTGATATATTTGATCCCATTACATGATTATTCAATATGAATATACCACGTATTTTTCTCTTCTATTTCTGATGGGCATTTGAGTTGTTTTCATTTTGGAGCATTTATGAATAATGCTGCTATGAAAATCCCTGGCATATCTTTTGGTGCTCATATAGACACATTTCTTTTGGGAATATGCCTGGATATGGGACTTATTAGCAAATGTTCCTAATTTTAAGTTTTGTTTAACAAAATAGCTCAGGTATGAAGATGATGATGTGTTTCCCTTTGGGTGCAGAAAACTAATCGATAAACAGACAAAAGAACTTCCAATTAGTTGGAATTTTAAGGATGGAAAGTTAATCTGTAGATAAAATGTTGAAATTTTGGAAACACTACAGCAAAGCAAGGCTTTTTGAGAAATGTCATAAGGAAGCTGGTAGGCTTCCTTAAGAAGCAGCTCTGAAAAATTGGAAGGACAGAAAGAGCTCTGTTCCATTTGGAGAAAGAAGAAGTGTTCTAATTGCCCAATTTCAGCATCAAAACAAAACAAAACAAAAAAGGAATCGAGTGTAACTCCATATACTCCATGACTTTTTCAAAGTACTGCAAGTTGCTGTTTTAAAAGCTTAATTATGATAAAATAACTCATTTTGCTTTCTCGCAAGGGAGTCATATAATTCCTTTAATTAAGAGGAAGCAAAATAGTTATTCCACTCTGAAGGCCTGGTACGTGCTTCTTCGAAGCCCAGAGAAGTGTATTTATATAGGCTTGTTGGTGAGACACCTCACCATTCCCTCTTCTCACGCTCCACGCATTTCTGTCTCCACCACCTTCCCATCAAGACCTCGGTAAAGAAAACACCTGCATGAGGAAGGCAGAACCCGCCGTACCCAGCACACGGCTGAACCCCATCTCTTGCTCACCTCAGTGCCTGTGAAGAACGCATTTGCAGAGAGCAAAAAGAAGACGCCTGAATTAATCTGTGGTGTCTGAGGAGTCCACAGTCCTCTTAACCAGGGGTGGAGGCGAGAGCACAGGAGATAAATAACAGAACATCTGGACCTGGGCCACTGTTTCCATGCTGGCCTTAGGCAGACAGGCCAACCAAGGCCAAGGCCCCAAGGGCCTGTTCCCTCATCTCTAGTCCCAAATGAACATTATACTCCTCCCCCCACTTCAAGAATTACATCACTGTATGTTCTTTGCTCCAACATTCACTTCAACTAAATTCCTTTGGTACCATTATTGAATCTCTCCATGACACAGTGGAGATGCTATTAAGAGTATCTTGTAAATGGATACCAGATATTTTCCAGCAAACCCCCCCGCCAACCACCATACACACTTTGTAACCAGCTCTGCTTCCTCACGAGACCTCTCCCTGTTTCATTCAACAGAGGAATGATTTTCCCTCAGTGACAGGGGACAAGTGATTACTCACAAAACTAGAATGCTTTACACACACAGGCCCAGTGTATGGGGCCAGGAGACTTGAGCTCGTGTTCAGACAGCACCATTGAACTGGCTGTGTGACTGTGACCGAGTGACTTAATGTTTCTGTTCCTGAGTTTCCCCATCTGTGAAATGGGATGGAATGGGATAACCACTTAATTGGGCTACTGTGAGAATTAAATAAGTTCATATTTTTAAGGCACTTAAAATAGTGCCTGGTGCAGAGCAAAGATTAGATGGGTGATAGGTAGGTAGGTGGGTAGATAATAGATGATAGATGAGCAAGGGAGCAAGCAATAACATCTTACTTAGAAATTAGAAATGCAAATCTTTAGATGTGAAAGACCTGCTTCACCAGTTGTATATACAACATCTACCCCATTTTGAGCAAAAAGGATATTATTAAACAACAGTAGAGGTAAATGGCCTAAGTACGGGTCATGCTCTATAAAATAGTCTAACAATTCAGGAGTCTAAGCATTTCCAGCCACAGGATTAAAAGCTCAGGGCTGGCAGTATATGAAAAAATCACTACAACCTCAATGCAAACTCCATAGAAAACAAGCTCGGTGAATATTTAATATGTTAAAATTAAGTTAAATGAATTAAATGATTTCATGTGTCGACTGCTGTTCTGTAATGATTTCTTACACGCCCAAGAAATCCACGGTGTCTACACTGTCCCTTTCAAAAATGCCCAAGAAATGGTATTCTGAAGGTCAGTGTTTATGATCATTTTTCCAAACACAGCTCGTGTGACCTGGAGAGTAAGTGGAAACCTAAGCAGATATTAGCCACGGAATAAAATAGAGGCCCACCATGAGGTTAGTGAGGCAGGAGGCTCATCCTTGCTGATACAAGCCGTGGGTAACAGGTCTGCTCAACAAAGCCACAGGGAAACTGCAACTGTACTTAGAAGTGTTGACGCTCATGTATCTCGGCACACGGTGGAAATGCTGAGGACCTTTATTGCCTACCCTACTGATCCTCCATGAGATTAGCTTCTGAGTTTGGGAGATTCACAATTGAGTACCTGACAAGTGTTATCAATTTCGTCCAGTCCACATCTGACCAGGTGTCATGGTCCAAAGTCTGTCAAGATTCAACCTTTTCGGTTTTGATCTCTCTTCTCAAGGCCAAAGGGAAATTTTACAAAGGGGACTATTTGGATGAATTACCCTTTGTTCTTGCTCAGGGTGGTTTTAATTTTCATTCATCCTAACAGGTGTGTTTGGGGGTATGTAATACAGAGATGCATAAGGGAACCATTAGTAAAGATTCTCTTAAATTGCCTTTAAATGTGGACTTCAGTGGGTAGATGGGTCATCTTGTTGCTGATCATTAGTGTATGCCCATCATTGGAATGTTTATGAGACACAGCTGGACCCATTTGGATCAATGAAGCCTTGGTTTAAAAAAGGGAATTAGTATTAAGGAATTTTTGTGAACAATATTTTCACTTATTAAACGAGATTTTAAATTGAAGTTTAAATTTTAAATTTTAAATTGAATTTCAACGTGATGCTGTTTTTCACATCACATCGCCCAAGGTTCAGAAGCTAGCTATCGCACCCTGTGGCTGAGGGTGTCAGGAATCAGGCACTCTCCATTTTGTGGGAGTATAAATTGGTACAAACGCTACAGAGAGTAAAAATTACAATATCATTTTTTTTAAATGCACATGATCTTTGAGCCAACAATTCCACTTCTAGAACTCTACCTTAAAAATATTTTCACACATTGGGCGCCTGGGTGGCTCAGTCGTTAAGCGTCTGCCTTCGGCTCAGGTCATGATCCCGGGGTCCTGGGATCGAGTCCCACATCAGGCTCCCTGCTCAATGGGAAGCCTGCTTCTCCCTCTCCCACTCCCCCTGCTTGTGTTCCTGCTCTCGCTATCTCTCTCTCTGTCAAATAAATAAATAAAATCTTAAAAAAAAAAAAAATATTTTCACACCTGGGCAAGATGCATTTTCATGTTGCCTTAGCAACCATTAATAGGGGATAGGTTAAATGAAATCTTCCAGACAATGAAATACTATTTACAGTTGCAAATAATTACAATATATATATTACATATACATATCACATACACAAATGGTAATATTTTATGCCTGCATCTGATTGGAACATCTCCGGAAATAGTAAAGAGTTGCCTCTAAGGGGAACTGGGTGGCTATAAGTCAGAGGTATAAAAGAGACTAACTTTTTAGTTGTACTCTCTTATTAATTTTTAATTTTGTATCATCTGCATATACTACCTATTCTAAACCATTAACAAAACAAGTTTCAAAAAAGAGGGCCTCGGTCTTGTGGACAGAATTCAGGTTGCTCCCTCCCAAGCACTCGCTTGGGGAAGAGTCTTCATCATGGTGAGGGCTGTAGCCCCCAGAGAGCGCTGCCCATTCCAGTACAAGCCTGCAAGGATGTGCGTTGATCGAGAAGTGAAATAAGCGTCACTCTACTCTCCCTTGGTCGGCTTTCGTCCCTTCTCCACACCTCTCAGGGTGAAGGCAGAGTGTTTATTTAGGCTTTCCTCTCTGCCTTGCTGAAGTTGTTCTCAATGCTAAGAGAGCTGGTGAAGGGTTAAATCACATGGATCTATCTCCAGGGATTCGCCTATCAGCTCACTCCTGCGTGTCTCAGTCTGTTTTAGTAGCAGTGAGGATGTACTGAAAACTAGAGATGAAGCCACAGGCGTCAGGGCTGAATTGCCCCTGAGGACCCTCTCATCCTCCGCTTCCAGGGCCCAGTCCCTGATCCGCACAGGCCTGAAATAAAGTCCTTGGAGCATGGCAGAAAATACACACCGACAACAGAGGGACTTAGCCATCCAGCTGACTTCCTTCCACTTTAGAATTTGAGATTATATCTCTTCCATTTTTGCTGTGTGTTGAACTGTCTTTTCTTTAATAAAATCATGGTGATGGCAGATGATAATTGGCTTGTTTTTGTTATTTTTTTTTAATGCCCCAACTTAGCATATTGGCAATCCCAGCTTGGTCCCCACAGTATTTAACTTGATGCGCAAATTGTACTGTGCCATAATGCCCAACATCTAGAAACCTTTGTCTAATCTCTGCCCGGAAGTGGACCCAGGAGGAAACTGAGCCAAAGAGGCTGAGATTCTACAGTCACAGACTGGGGAGCCCAGCGTTGCTCCTGCCTCGGCTGCCCTGGGACAGCCTCCCTGTGCAGGGAGAAGTACACACTGCCCTGTCCTCACTGTGCCTGTGACTTCCAGTTCCAACCAGCCAGCCCACTGGCAGCCACGTGGAAAGCAAGTTACAGCAGATCCTGGCTGTTTGTGCAGCAATCCCATGGAATTAGCTCTTGGGTCATTCGCTCTCCATATTAAGCCAAAGGTCCTATGTAAAAAATGAGAGAAGCAATATTAATTATGGAGACAGCCCTAATAACTTGGGACAAGTCACGAAGCAAGTAGAAACTTTCATCTTTATGTATCATAATTAATAATATACTCAGTAGAGCATCCGTTACTAAGGTTTTCACACTTTAATGCCTTGTTGTCTTGATGTGACCAGTGGGTCTTTCATCTTACCATATTTTGAAAAAGATTCACTCTACTCTGATCGTTGCATAGATTCAGAAGAGAAACAGAACTCTAAGACACCTGATGCTTTGGACTCCATTTCAAGGCTGAGGAAGATCAGTGAAGAGCTCCTCCGTGCCCCTGCCTTAGCAGGCTCATCTCCCTACTATGAAATCGCCCCAAGAGCTGTAGTTGTTGTGGAAATGTCAGAGAACCTATGACGCAATGAGCCCTCCTCCCTTCAAAGATGGCCCGAGTGAGGATGTTAGGGCCTGGTCTCTGGACCAGTACTGCCATGGCGAGATACATTCACGTCATTTCAAGTCCTTCTCTCATCCGGGTTCGTGCTCTAGCTAACCTTGGCCAGGGCATTGTCAATTGCCTCTGAAGCTTAGGTTTTTCTCATTGATTAGGGCTGTGAGGTGTGGGTAGAGGCCACCCAAAACCCAAGATCCATACCCCTTCAGAGTACCTCTAACAAAAATATTTATCTTGTTGTTTTGTGGAAGCTTCATTTTTCTCAGTGATGGGATTATATTAATCGCACAAGGGTTAAAGGTCAAGAGCCATCTTCCCACTGCAATTATGTAGCCGGCTATACCCAGAATGCTCTTCCAAGTTCTGGAGATCATATATGGAAAACACAGGGCCGTGCCCAAGGAAGGACGGAGCAACAGTTAGGAGCCAGTGTCTTGGGATTCTGATCACCTACGAGCTCTTAGAGAACCTCGTTCATGTGATGCCAGCCTGCCACAGTCGACTCACTGGGCCTGGCCAATCTCTCCTGCAGCCTGAGGAGTAAGGCCAGGACATGCAAGATACAACACATGCATTTTGATCAGCCCCTGGGAAAAGTCAAAATGAAAAGTCAAGATCAAGTGCCATAGCCTCTTGGCCTGTCCTTAGTGGAGGACCCTAAGGTCCAAATGGAAAAATGTTCAAGTTACACTAGATCGCTCTTGCTATGCAAGGACATAGTATCTCAAGAATATACTGGAGATGAGTAGATATTCAGCTCCATTCCAGGCCTGTCTGGTAATTATTACAGCCTCTCAAATCACTCTTGAGTTGGTCTGGAGCAATAGGCTACTAAGTTACTAAGACTGGTCAGGACATGCCTGAGTCCCAAACACCATTC